TACGAACTAGGAACTAAACTTAACCCCTGTGACTCAACTGGCAGCCAAACATTAGATAGACATATACCAAAAACCAAACCAAACTCACTGCTGTTGAGTCGGATCCGACTCATAGTGACTCCTCCTTGGGTTTCTGAGGTGGTATCTCTACGAAAGTAGATTGCCCAATCTTCCTTCCAAGGAGTGACTGGTAGGTTTGAATTGCCACTCCTCTGGTTAGCAGTCAAATGCCTTAGGCACTACTCCACCAGAGCTCCTGACAGACATATAAGGTGAACAGTAATATCAGGAGGGTATGTACTCATTACAGCAATCAAGCATATGAGATCAAGAGGATAGCATTTGCCCAGGGATACTGCTAGGAAGGTGGAAAGCAATGGGAAGAAAGAATGAAGAAAAGAAGTGGGCCTAATAACATTGTTAATTGAGTAACTAATTTAATAGTACAAAAGCTTAGATAGATCCTATATTTAAATGAAAATCAAAGATGAACACTGAACTCCTACACCAACCCTGTTACTTCAACACATAACAAAGTACTTATCACATAAACAAACAAACAAAACCCAAACTCACTGCCATTGAGCCAGTCCTGACTCATAATGACCCCTCCTTGGGTTTCCAAGGTGGTATCTCTATGGAAATAGATTGCCCAATCTTCCTTCCAAGGAGTAGCTAGTGGGTTTGAACCAAAGTGCCAGCCTTCTGGTTAGCAGTCAAATGCTGTAGGCACTATGCCACCAGAGCTCCCACTTATCACAAAGCAAGCCATTAATATTTGATATGTATTAATTAAATCTGCATTTTTTGTGTGTGAATATGCAGTCTCTTACCTGCTCTGCTAATTTTTAAAATATCTTCCCCAACAATCATATTCTTTCTTGCCTTCATGCCTTTGGTCATGACCTTATCAGTCCACATCTCTTTCCTCATCTAGCCTTATCCTTCTAGACCCAGTTTATACATTTCTTCTCCAAGTCACTTCCTTTGACCCCAAATTTAAGTTGGATGTACCATTTATATACTCCCACAGAGCTTTGGTTTTTTCCCTATTAGCATTCAGCATTATGTACTTCAATTGTCTATTTAATACAATCTTTTCTGCTAGGCTGTAAGCTTCCTGAGGGCAGGGGCTAGATCTAAATGTTAGTTGCAGAACATGCACAAAATATGTCTGTCATGTTACAGGTGCTCAATAAATATTTTTTGAATGAATGCATTACCCTTAATAACTTGATTTTCTCTTTGTACCCAGGAATGATCATGTAGAAGAACTTCAGCTTTCAGATTGGTTTAATCCTAAGTAAGAACAACAAATTCTGCTCAAATAATAATAATACAGCTCAGTTTTTAAGGGGTAGTTTTTGTTTTCCGTCACCATATTGTAGCTATCCTGAGAAGTTTCCAGTTTTTATTTTCAAGGCTTTTATATACAAACCTGTTGTTGTTGTTGTTGTTAT